TCTCGAACTTGCGGGCTCAGGCAATCCACTCACCTCAGCCTCCCAAAGGCACGGGATTACAGGCTGAGCCACCGAGCCTGGCAATACCTTTGAATTTTATTTTATTTAATTAATTAATTAATTAATTATTTTTTTGAATTGGAGTCTCACTCTGTCGCCCAGACTGGAGTGCAGTGGCCGCTTCCGGCCACCACAGCCTCGACCTGCTGGGCTCCGGCAATCCTTCTACCTCAACCTTCCGAGTAGCCGGAATTACAGGCATGCGCTACCATGCCCAGCTGATTTTTTTGATTTATTGTAGAGATAAGGTCTCGCTGCCCGGGCGGGTCTTGAACCCGCGGTCTCAGGCAATCCACTCACCTCAGCCTCCCAAAGGCACAGGATTACAGGCTGAGCCACCGAGCCCGGCAATACCTTTGAATTTTATTTTAAAAGCAATGGAAAGGATATTAGACTTGACGATTATTATTTAGGGTGTATAGACAAAGCATAAGCTGAGACAGGATACTAAGTTTAGTGGAACAGATGTATAACTTTATGAAAATATATTTTAATCAGCAACACATTATCTATCAGTATACATAATTTTACTAGACTTTCAACATAAGGATAGATAATATGCCATGAATTCATAGCATAAAAATTCAAGTTGTAAAGAACTTAAACCAATATGTGTTGAAACATAATAAGAAGGCCAAGGTGAGGTGGAAGATTGCCGGAGCCCTGTAGATCAACGCTGGGGTTGGCCATGAGCGTGTCACTGCACTCCAGCCTGGGTGACAGAGTGAGACGCAGCTCAAAAAAAAGAAAAATATAATAAGTATGTGATCAAATGTCCTTGCTCTAAACTAAGTGGTTCATAGTGGGAGTCTTGGGCTAAGTGTATGATTCTAGAGCATTTTCTGATAACTTGTTTAGCTACTCAGGTTTTTTTTTATGGTTCAAAGTCAAAGTTTCTACTTGTTTTATGAGTACTGTTGTTTCATTGCATGTAGTTACTTAGAAGCTCTGAACATTAGCAACTAGTTTCCTTCTAAGTGCTCTTCAGTCATGTAGTATATATTTGTTTCTTCCTTAGAATATACTAAAAAGTTGAAGAACTGTGAGGATTTCCTCATAGAGAAGGATAAAACGCAAAAAAGGGGAGATTACTGATTTGTCTTTCGAATTCTGCTAGGATTAAGGAGTAAAGGATATTACAGAAACTCCAGGTTCTGTTGCCCTGGTGTGGATGAAGAAGGGAAGGCGGCCTCGGTGGCGCTTCCCCGCCCTACCGCTAGGGCGGCGATGCGCAGAAAGTCTCTGTCCCTTCCCGGAAGACGCCTCTCTCGGCGTTGTCGGCGATCCTGACGCTCGGAGGCGACACTTCCTCCCCGGTTACCGCCAGTTCGTAGCAAGTCGGCTGCTGCTGTTCCGGCTGCTACTGTATTTCATTTCGCCGTGGACGGCCAGTCATGGAGGGCTCGGGGCCCAGCGAAGGTGGATTCCGTGAGGCGAGTCCGGGCGGGGTGGGCCGTGCCGGGGGAGCTGCACTAACGAGGCCTCCCTCCTCTTCTCCCCTTGCCCCAGTAACAGGCTCGGACGCATCCGGTCTGGACCCGCAGCTGGCAGTCACCATGGGCTTCACGGGGTTCGGTGAGTAGCTGCCAAAGGCAGAGACCCGTTCCCTTTTGCGTGGTTTTAAGAGCATCAGATTGAGCGGGGAGGTTGAGCTGTCAGTTCGGAACTGTCGTGCATACTTTGCAGTTTCTTGACATTCTTCCTCATTCGTCTTCTAACCTGTTTGTTGGAAGGAGTTCAGGTGACACCAATGAGAGTCTTTGAGAGAAAGAAGATTGCCTTTGTGACTCACTCGGAGGAGGATGTTTGCAAGTGGAGGGAGTTATCTGCATCCTGAGACAGATCTAAGGACTGAGAAGTCCTTAAAGAGATGACCCTTTTGACAGCAATATTATAACTAATATTATACAGCAATAATATTACAACCAGTGCAGTGCAACCAATATCATGAAGGTTATTGAGGCCTCCCTCCCCCCTTTTTTGAGACAGGGTCTCCGTCTGTCACCTCAGCTGGAGTGCAGTGGTGTGATCGTAGCTCATCACAGTCTCCAACTCCTGGACTCTAGCGATCCTCCCGCCTCAGCCACTCGAGTAACTGGGACTACAGATGTGAGCCACCACACTCGGCTAATTTTTAAACATTTTTTGTAGAAACGGGGTCTCACTGTGTTGCCCTGGCTGGTCCCGAACTGCTGGGCTAAAGTGATTCTTCCGCCTGGCCTCCCGAAGTGCTGGGATTACAGGTGTGAGCCGCCACCCCCAGTCTCTTATTCATTCATTCATTCATTTATTCAGCCAATGTCTTGAGCCACACATATTTACTATCTTCTAGGTGGTCACATCTACGAAAGGGTAATCATAGCACTTATTTTGGTTGCAGTTTTTTTAAAAAGCTGTTCTCTCTAATATCAAAAGTAATACTAATTAATGAAGATCTAGAGAATGTGCTGGGCATGGTGGCTCAAGCCTGTAATACCAGCACTTTGGGAGGCCAAGGTGAGAGGATTGCCTGAGCTCTGGGGTTTGAGACCAGCCTGAGCAACTGGTGAGGACTTGTCTCCATAATAAATCAAAAAATTAACTGGGCATGGTGGCACATGCCTGTAGTTTCAGCTACTTAGAAGACTGAGGCAGGAGGATTGTCTGAGTCTAGTAGGTCGAGACTGTGGTGACTATGAGCGTGCCACTGCACTCCAGCCTGGGTGACAAAGTGAGACTCCAACTAAAAAAAAAAAAAAAAAAAAAAATCTAGAGAATGCAATAAATTATACAGAATAAAGTAAAATTACTTATAACCTCATGATCTAGCAATCAAGATTTAAAATTTAATTTGCTTCAGTCTTTTTTGTGTATTAAGAAAATATGTTCATTAATAAGTTGTTATTGTTGTTATTATTATTATTTTAGTCAGAGTATCACTCTATTGCCCAGGCTGGAGTATAGTGGCACGAGGCCACCATCGCCTTGACCTGCTGGGCTCATGAGATCCTTCTATCTCAGCCTTCTAAGCCAGAGCTACAGGCTACCTCACCACCCGCAGCTGATTTTTAAATTTATTGTAGAGACGGCCAGGTTGCCTATGCTGGTTTGAACCTCTCGGCTCAGGTAGTCTTGAGAGAGCCTCTTATTCTCAAAGTGCTGGAATTACAGAGATGAGCTCTGTACCTGGCATATATTCTTTTTCTTTTTTTTTTGAGTTGGAGTCTCATTCTGTCACCCAGCTGGAGTGCAGTGGCACACTCATGGCTACTGCAGCCTCAACCAGTTTATATTATTCTTAAACACAATGTTTTGAGGATTTTCCCATAATATAAAATGCTCTTCCAAAGCATGGTTTTCATTTTATTTTTTTATGTTTATTTTTTTGAGTTGGAGTCTCACTCTGTCGCCCAGGCTGGAATACAGTGGCAGGCTCACAGCCCCACTGCAGCCTCAACCAGCTTATGTTATTCTTTAAATACAGTATTTTGAGGAATTTCCCATAGTATAAAATGCTATTCCAAAGCATGATTTTTATTTCTTATTTTATTTTTATTTGAGTTGGAGTCTGACTCTGTTGCCCAGGCTGGAGTACAGTGGCAGGCTCATGGCTACCACAGCATCGACCTGCCGTGCTCAGGCGATCCTTCCACTTTAGCCTTCCAGGTAGCCTGAACCAAAGGCATGTGTTACCACGCCTGGCTAATTTTTTTTTTAATTGTAGAGATAAGGTCTCGCAAAGTTGCCCAGGCTTGTCTGGAACCCATGGACTCAGGCAGTCCTCTCACCTTGGCCTCCAAAGTGCTGGGATTGTAGGTGTGAGCTACCGTGTCTGACTGAAGCATGGTTTTTAATGAGTGGATAGTAGAGTTTCTAATACAGGCATGTCCAACCCACATGCAGCCCAGGACAGCTAGAAATGCAGTCCCATGAAATCTTTTAATGTCATGTGGTTTTTTTTTTTTCTTCTTTGATTTGCAGTCTAACTCTGTCACCCAGGCTGGAGTGCAGTGGCATGCTCACGGCCACCGCAGCCTCGACCTGCTGGGCTCCGGCGATTCTTCCGCCTCAGCCTTCCAAGTAGCTGGAACTACAGGTGTGTGCTACCACACCCAACTAATTTTTTGATTTATTGTAGAAATATGGTCTCGCCAAGTTGCCCAGGCTGGTCTTGACCCCCCTGGGATCAGGAAATTCTTTCACTTTGGCCCCCAAAGTCCTGGAATTACAGGCTTGAGCCACCATGCCCAGTCCCAGAGATTAATGTATGGATATTCTTCATTTTGCCTACCACACCAGTGTTGTTGCTTTAAAGGGTAGGAATCCAGATAAATAAAGGAAGATGGGAACATTGGCTGGTTTGTGGTACTCAGTGAAGAGATTGTCATTAAAAGTTCTCTATGGGCCAAGTATGGTGGCTCAGTCTGTAATACCAGCACTTTGGGAGTCTGAAGTGAGAGAATTGCCTGAGCCTGGGGGTTCGAGACCAGCCTGGGCAACTTGGTGAAATCTCGTCTCTACAACAAATCAAAAAATAAGCCAGGCATGGTAGAGTGCACTTGTAGTTCTAGTTACTTGGAAAGCTATTGTGGAAGGATTGCCTAAGCCCAGCAGGTCAAGGCTGTGGTGGCTGTGAGCAGTGTGCCTCTGCACTCTAGCTTGGGCAACAGAGTGAGACTCCAACTCAAAAAAAAAAGTTCTTTATGAACTAAACTTGATATTTTATGGTTCTCTTGGAGCCATGCTATAAGCTAGACAGACTCAGTAGTTGTTGATAGATCAGTAAATATTGAGTACCTAAAGTTTGACCAGTTTATTGCAAGATAGTCACAGTCTGCCACTTGTTCTTGTTTTAGGGAAAAAAGCTCGCACATTTGACTTGGAAGCAATGTTTGAACAAACTCGAAGAACAGCTGTGGAGAGGAGTCGGAAAATACTGGGTAAGGAGTTCATATATTTGTCCTTTTATTGGTTTGAATACTGCATATACCTTATACAAGTGTGTTGGCAGTTACAAGAAAGAAAAAGTTTCCAAAATTGTTAAAAGACCATATGTGCCAGTTCCCTTTTGTAAGCAGAACCTGAAGACTTTTTTTTTTCCTTTTTATTTACTTTTTGAGGTGGAGTCTCACTCTGTTGCCCAGGCAGGAGTGCAGTGGCATGATCACAGCTCACTGCAGCCTTGACCTTCTGGCCTCAGGTGATCCTTCATTCTCAGCCTCCCAAATAGCTGGAATTACAGGCACATACCACCATACCTAGCAATTATTTGATTTTTTTGTGGCAACAGATTCTCACTGTGTTGCTCAGGCTAGTTCTAAACTCCTAGACTCAACCAGTCCTCCTACCTCAGCCTCCCAAATTGCTGGGATTATAGACATGAGCCAATGTGCCTAGACATTTTTTCCGTTTTAAACATGTGAAAGTTGTATCTAAATAAGATAATAAAGTCTGAGTACTAAAATCTTTTTAAAGTGTGTTCTATGAACAAACAAGGATTCTCAGTTTACATGAAACAGAAAAGCAGTTTTTTAATTATCTCTCCTCCCGCCTCTATCTGACTGTCATTTCATTTTTTTCTTTCCTGCTTACAGCGGAACCAGTATTTGGAAGGCTGGGCCAAAGGTGGCTCTCAGAGCTGTATACACCATTGACTGTTGACCCAGACAGTATAGAAAATTGAGACATACTGTGAATGTGACTGCTGCTGTTGAATCCCTGCTTTAATGAGTTGTATCAGACATTTAAGGAAGGCCCTAATTTCCAGGCTGGTTTGATGCCAGATGGTTGACAATTCTAGTTACCACCTCAGGATTGATGGAGGAGCCTGATTTTTCTACTTTCTTTGCATCTGATTCAGATCATTCTTATACTAAGGAAGGGATAGGTATAACTTGATAGAGCAGATGGAACTAGGAAATAGATGGACAGGAATCCTGGAAAAATTTAAATGAATGAATGTTGTTGTAGTACTTGTCATTGTTGATTTTAAAATGATAAATTAGCCGGGCTCAGTAGCTCAGCCTGTAATCCCATGCTTTGGGAGGCTGGGGTGAGTGGATTGCCTGAGCCTGTGGGTTCGAGACCCACCTGGGCAACTTGGCGAGACCTCATCTCTACAATAAATAAAAAAAAATTAGCCAGGCATGGTAGTGCGCGCCTGTAGTTGCAGCTACTTGGAAGGTTGAGGCGGAAGGATCGCCGGAGCCCAGCAGGTTGAGGCTGCGGTGGCCGGGAGTGGCCACTGCACTCCAATCTGGGCGACAGAGTGAGACTCCAACTTAAAAAAAAAAAGATAAATTATATATCAGCAATATCTAATATTTGGCTGTGAGTTTGATACAAAATATTTTTGGTCTTTGGAAAAAGTACAATTTTTATGGTGAAAGAAAGCTGTCTGCGTATACTTTTTTTTTTTTGAGTCGGAGACTCACTCTGTTGCCCAGACTGGAGTGCAGTGGCACCCTCACGGTCACCGCAGACTCAACCTGCAGGGCTCAGGCGATCCTTCCACCTCATCCTTCCAAGTAGCTGGAACTACAGGCATGTGCCATCATGCCTGGCTAATTTTTCTTGATTTATTGTAGAGATGAGGTCTTGCTAAGTTTCCCAGGCTGGTCTTGAAGCCCTGGGCTCAGGCAGTTCTCTCACCTCAGCCTTCCAAAGTGCTGAGATTATAGGGATGAGCCACTGCACCAGACCCTATTTTTAAAAAAATCTTCATTATTTGAAATTTCAAACACAAAAGTATAGTCATGAACTACCATGTACCTATCACTCAGATGTAATTACTGTAACAATTCATGGCTAGTGTTATTTTCATTTACTTTCACTGTTTTCTCTTTTTTTTTTTTGAGTAAGAGTCTCACTCTGTCACCCAGGCTGCAGGGCAGTTGCATACTCACAGCTACTGCAGTCTCAACCTGCTGGGCTCAGGCAATCCTTCCACCTCAGCTTTTCAAGTAGCTGGAACTCCTGGTGTGCACCACCATGCCTAGCTAACTTTTTGATTTATTGTAGAGATGAGGTCTTCCCAAGTTGCCCAGGCTGATCTTGAACCCCTGGGCTCAGGCAATCTTCTTGCCTCAGCTTCCCAAAATGCTGGGTTTACAGACGTGAGCCACCACTCCCAGCACACTTCCACTCTTTTAGATTATTTTAAAGCAAATTTTAGGCATAACATTCCATCTGCAAGTGCTTTTGTATGTATCTTAAAGTGATAAGTGTTTTAAAAAAAAAATGACCAAAGTGAGAAGATTGCCTGAGCTCACAGATTCACGAACAGTCTGGGCAACTTGGTGAAAACCTCATCTCTACGATAAATCAAAAAATTAGTTG